GACATTGAATCCGTTTCCTGGGTATTTTTTAGTAAATACCAATTTCGTAGTAATATTTGGTTTAAATTGAACTTCAATCAAATGGAATACGCACATTTCTCCGAAAACGAATGGTATGACATGCATTTTCATTCACATTGCTTCGGTTTCAAATTCTATTTTATTTACCGTTTTTACTAATTGGATCCAGCAAATATATGTATAAATTCTATTCACAGTAAATAGATGAATGTTGTTCAAATAAATAGAATTCAATACAAAAAAGTTCGTATTTTGAGTTAGATAGTTGCAGAAGCAATATTGTAAAAGAGGACAGTGATGAAAAAAATGATATTCATTCTTCTTCGAAATTAACGTGAGAGAAAAATAATGTTCTGCAATGATGACATATAATTTCAATCCATTCAAGGCGGACACGTTTGAAACCGTGGTAATGTGACGAACAGAAAAGGGATTCATTGTGAAAAGAGATTCGTTTTGACACAACCCCCGTAAATTTATATATTTTTCGCTGGAATGCAATAAAAGTCATGAAATGACAATTGAATCGATGAAAAATAACAGAAAATTGTAAGCAGTTAAATCAAAATGTGAATACCATTTGTAAAATCGATAATGAAGAGAAATTGTGTCATGGGAACTACTTTTGATGTTGCGAGAAAAAAAAACGCATATTATTTTTGTTCTAGCGAAACATCAAAATAATTCAACTACATTTTCTTAAAAAGTGAATCATGAATATATCGCTGAAATATGTTTGTTGCATTCAAAGCGTTACAAGTTGTTCATTTCAGAGATATGAACGCTTGTTTATATGCAAATGACGTTGAAAAGTGGAACGTGATTTTTTTTCTTCTTGTGCTTGTTTGTTGTTCCAAGGAACCGAAGTTAAATCATTGCTCCAATAAACGAAAATTGCGCACTATTAAAAAACGTTGGCCCACATAAATTGAACTATGTTTTCGACTTGGAGAAAATTAAAATTTTAACTAGCACGGTGTTTGTGTGTGTGTCTCAAACAATGTGAAAAGGTAGGCAAAGTAATATATGAAATTCAAAGTTTCTTCTTCAACATTTTCATTTCGGAAAATAGCCGAAAAATGTAATATACGAAAGGAACAACGAATTTCTCGCCCCTCGATTCAATGTGATTTCATTCGGTTTTATTTTTATTTCTTAACATTTTCTTCGTTTCTTTAAATGCGAACTTTTTCTGCGTGTGCCATTTTAGCTGTTATTGTATTGTCTCGATCTTTTGCCAATATTAACATAATTTAACTATAATTTCTCCCTTTATTTGCTTGTGTTCATTTCTCATTTACGTTTCATAGAGCGTCATACTGTGAATGTATATTTATTTATTTTATTTTCGTTGGTTTTTTTTTGTGTCGCTTTTAAAATGTGGATGCATTTGTTTTTTCTCTCTTCCGCGCACATCTATTTATTTATTGTATCTGCTTCGAGCATCCAGTTAACCATCTTTACCACCAACTTCGGTTTGCCATTTTTATTGTGTATATGTGTGTATTATTTGCCTTTTCAACAAAGCATAATATTGTAAATGTGCACTACTTGCGTATCTATTTATGGCTCGGTGGGAAAGAATCGTTTTCCTTCTCTCTCTCTCTCTTCCGCTAGCTACCGCAGCAACCGATGTAAAGAACAGAACAGAACTCTCTTCCCTTTGTTCATCACAATGTCGCATAACGCATTCACCATTCTTTTGTTGTATAGTCCGAGGTGCAGTTGACTTGGGTGTTTGTATGTTTATGTCGGTTTTCACTTCTTCGTTTTTTTTTCTCTTCCTTCGCACACCGTTTGAATTTTTGCTCGCATTTGTATGCAATGTCATTTACGATGCATATTTTTTTTTATTATATGGTAAAATATTTGTGTTCGCATGAATTTTATAGTCGGCGAATTTACTACAAACTGATATTTTTCCGTCGTTTTCACATTATATACAGATATTTTCGTTGTATGTATATAAATGTGCTGATGAAAAGACGATTCTAAGTAAATTGCTGCTACAATGGATTTCAACTTCGTAAAATGATAACGAGAAAATATTGTGCAGAAGAAAAGAGGGTGCTCAAGTTTGTCAACCGAATGAAGAAGACATAAAATAGCTTTCCCGTAAGATTTACTTATTTATTTTTCTTCTGGATTCTTTTCGTATTTTTCCTTGTTTAATACGAAGAAGAAAAATAGTTTCAGCCACTTTGTAAATTTTATCGAGATTATTTAGATTTGCTGAAATAAATGAACTCAATTTTGCATTCAGCGTCAGTTTTTTTTGTGTTCAGTTTTCACGTAGATTTTTTTTGAACTCATTCGAATCAATTAAGTGTACAAAATTTGAGTATTTTTCCTAGCTTGAGCGTGTTACATCATATAGAAGTGCTGCAGCACAGTAGAAGATACATTTTTCGCATATAAAAATGCATAATCGTTTGAATGCGTGGAAAATTTGAATGAAAATCCTGTGTTTGAATTCCCGCCATCTGTTAAAATGATAACGAAAACTAAAAGATTTTTCATCTCATCAAATCAAAACAGTTTCTTTGATTTTCAAAACAGCTGAAGTTGCAACGTTCTTCATCAAAACAGCACTTCCGAGGTGTCTTAATCTCATAATTTAATTAGCATTATCATCGCGAAATGACAACGAAAGCATGGAAATGTATAGTAATAGCAATTGTTTGTGAAATAAGTAGAAAATTTTCCGTCTGCATTTGCCAAGCATAAAAGTGCATAGCATCAACATCAACACAATGCGGTCGCATGTTGAAAACAAAACGCAAACAACATCTAAGCACAATATAGACGATGTCTTAGTACATCATATATATCCGAGAGTGAGAGCAAAACATAACATAACGGAGCAATGAAGAAGCTTGTCGTATGTCAGACATGTAATTGATAAATATGATAGATTAAGGTTTAAGTTGAAATGGTTGTTTGCAAGTCAAGTAGGAAGTCGCAAGTTGAAATACAAGTGCTCTTATTATAAAACGTTATGTCATGCTTCACTTTAAAAGATGCGATGCACATCAGTTGTGCAAATGTTCGTCATTATGGTCTCAGTATTTTTTATCTGACTGCTTTTCTTCGATTCATCCGGTAAAATGTGAGATATTTTAATAATTATCCCGAAAATATGCTTTTAAATGAACGTTTAAAAAACTTTGTCATTTCAAAAAAATATGAACGTTTTTTTGGTCGTTAATTATGCGTAAATAATATTCCATAGAACCTCACCATATTTCCTATCCATATATGGCCACTTTATAATCAGAGAAAAGCCAAAGAATGCCGAAGCGATGAATTCAAAACACAAATCTTGTGGACCTCAAGTAATTGCATACTATCGTCTCAAACTCAACTTATTGATTCAACATAATTCAAATCTTTTTCACGTAATAGGGTGCATCAACTTTCTTTTACATTGACGTCTATAAAAATGTAGAATGAACTCAGGTCGCCGTCTGAAAAAAACGAATGTTCGTCATTAAATACTCAATAATATATAAAAATTCTGCCATATAAAGTATGATTCCCATTTTAAAAAAAACCTGGTATTAATTCTTTAATATGCTTGAATTGTGTTGAATAGCAGTGGCGAATAAGCTCTGATTAAAGTGATAGTCATTGTCATTATTTTGTTGTTGATGGTTGCTTTCGTCTCTGACATTTTATGCAAATTTCTTACGTACAGTCGTTTTCATTGCATAAATGTTGATATTTTATGTTTTTAACCCCCGGTTCGTTTCCGAATTTTGCATGGGGGCCAATTGTGATGGCACATTTTGCGCAATGGTAAAATCTCACCGACGAACGAGGTATTTGTGGTCGCTGGTAATAAAAAATGCACTCACCATTTTATGTGCTACGTACAAGTGGTATATGTAATCGCCGAAGTATACCAAATTGATCGAGCTATGTGTGCCTTATGTATGTATGAAATGTACATGTGAAGAGTAGCACAAAATATCATTTAATTTTGCATCGGGTTTTTTTTTTATATCTGTCTAATTTTTGTCTTTCCTGTGTTTTTGTTTGTGTGTCTGAGTGAGCGCGCGTGTATGTGTTCAGATACCATTTTATTTTCCGTCATAGGCAGAAACAATGAAAAATTCGTATATATGTCGTGCATTCCAGTGTCGGTATTAAATTTTCATTTATGTGTAGAGTCGTTATTCCATATCAACGAAAGAAAACGAGCTCTGCGCATTACATGACCAACACAGCAAAAATTTATGGTAAAACTTTGGATTATGGCAGTCTTTTTAGGTGCGCTTCGTCTCTTACACTCTGTCACACTTGCAATACAATTCGTTGTGCCACGTTTCTTTTCACCTCTTTCCCGGACGTTTTTTCGGACTTTTATATGAATTTCATCATCTGCATACTGGCCACTTGGCTCGTCTCGTCATTTTTGCCCGTGTTCACTTTACATTTTGTTTTGAACGCACACATCGGTCACATCGTTCACGTCAAACAACAGACGATGCAAACTAACTCCAACTGAACACACAAAATATGTTTTAATTTTATATGAATCGCATCGTAAATCTAGTTCTTTTCCCGCAAATAAAATTTTTATCATCGCTTTTTTCTCGCTCTCTCTCTCTCTCTCTCTCTCTCTCTCCTCTTGTCTATTCGATGGCAAGGTAAATTTGGCACACAGGCGACAAGGGTAATTTGTAGCTTGACAAACTTAAAGCGATATGCTAAATGCGAGTACGGTCGGACTAACGACACTATCATACCGCAATATATAAATCATGCATATACATACAAATAATTAGCCATCAAGCGAAAGTTTTTCCTCTTGAACGGCCACAATGTTCCCGGGCGTAATACTTATATATAATTTTTTTTGTTTGCATTTTTTATTCTCCTCGTCCCTCGTCATATTGTAGCCGTTCATTGTAGAAACTATTTTATTATAAATCATTTTCATTTATTTCACTTTTTTTCTTCTTCTTTCCACACAGTGCCACCCCATCAAATTCTGGTATATGATGCATCTGGACGTGATGTTTCCGGTGCAGTTGGCCCACTTTATGAAGGTGACAGTCTCGTGTTATCATGCGAAGTTCGTGGTGGTAAGTTGAATAAGAGTTTTTTTTTCTGTTGCTCTCTCTCTATTTGTACAAACTCATTCGGATTTTCGATATAAATTATCATAAAAATGATTACCGGTTCAATTGAGCATCACGGTTGTGATTTCGTTAACTCAACCATGCAAGTCAGTTGCGTTGGTTTCAGTTTTTCAATCTATTTTTCTCTTCGTCTACGTTTTTCCGATGAATTTTTCATGACAAAGTGAAAACAAAAATTGAATTTTCATTAATTTGACAATCGATTTGAATATCATGCACATGAAACGAAAATAGCACACAACAAAATAATCAATATATCGGGCAAAGACATATAACAAACAATAAACGAATAAAGAACAATTCTGATGTTTTTAAAAAAGTACAATATATGCAATAATTCATCGTCGTGTATATACTATATATAAAATAGTTGAATAAATCTATTCTCTGACGATAAACTGTGATTTTATTTTGACATTGTTTTAATTTATTACATTTGGAAGGGAATGTTCGTTAGCATAAGCGTATTGAATTTCTATCAAAATATCAACACGACAGTTTGTATATGGGTGTGTCGTAATTTTGATTGGTTTTGTGTGTGTGCGTGAATTCGATTCCTTTGACAGGTTCGATGAAATTAATTTCAATTGTTCATTTTAACCGCGCATCAGAAACATAGTGAACGAGCTCGACCTAGGTTTCAAATTAATAAATCATCAAAAATCGAGTATACGATTCGAAAGAAAGGCATTACATTCAATTGTGCAATTCCGTACTGAATGGTATGCGCATGTAACGTATCAATCGGTGCTTTGTTTTGATCGCATTTATATGCAACGCCATGTTAACTTGCAAAAAAAAAACTTTCTAAAAAATCGCACATCAATTTTCTGACTCTGTGATTATTGCCGCTTAAAATCAACCAAATCAATTCTTCCGAAATATATCTGGTAAATTTTCATGCAATTCATCATGATGTTATATTTTACAGTTCTTTTAATAAGCATTTTCATCACACGGACAAAAATTGTCTATAATTTTGATAAATATAATAATTTCATTTTATATGGTCTTGCATTTTGTGTGTTTTAATAGCCTCGCTTCCACCCAAACCAAATACTTTTATAGATTAACTTTGAAGCCGTTTTAGATGAATGCTCTCGCATTAAATGGCAAATTGTGTTCAAGTTTTTGAACCGAGACTTGTTTGCATGCTGTGCGACGGTATGTGCGGTGCGTACTTTGTTACATATGCCATGAAGTTGAACAGTTGAACACAAGTGGTTTCTACCGAAAACTTTGCTAAATTAATATGTGTATAGTGTATACACATTTTACGTACATCCATATTCGATGAATGCCGAAAAAAAAAAAAAACGATGATGAGAACATTGAAGTTAATATAGCTTAACGAAAAATAGTCAATAAAATGAGTTCTAATAAAAAAAACACGTTATAAAATATTAGGCCGACCGACGCCGAATTTCGAGTGTCTTGTCGAATACCACGCTATACAAAATACGACAGCGATTGAATGTAAGTGGTTAATTTCACATTAAAGCATTATACAATAAATTCGCATAACAAGGTGGTAATATCAAATAAAACAATGGCCAATTTTAGATTCAACTCGGTAAATCCATATTCAAGATTCACCTGCATTTTCAATTTGATTTGCTAGCACGCGCAAGTTTTTGTTCTGTTTAAAAATTGACGAAGTTAATCCGCTGGGCTTGTAAATATTGAAATACTTGAATTGAAACGCAATCTTCCGAACGGCATTAACATTTACTTAATATTTTGCAAATAATGTTTTAATTACGAATACCATTATCTAAATTATAATTTATTAACGTATACTGTGTGCTGGTATTACATGTTTAGCTGCTGAAAATAACTGAACAAATACAAGCGATTTCAACAAACTTTTCAGAATGAAAGCACAGAGGGTGGATCTTAATTTCCAGCCACAGTTGTTGCTGCTTGTTTCATTGGACCGGTTTTTTTTTATGTTTTTGTACCACATCCTTTGATGCTCATATTCTCAATGATGGCACAACCACTTTTGCACATTTACGCTTTGTGTAATCGAGCTTCAGCATATTAATAAAAGATTAGGCGAATTCATTTTTTATTATTAAATCAGCGAATGAAATAATGAGCAACTCTACTCGAAAATTATTGGATACAAATGAAAAAAAAAATGCAGCTTTATTTATATATAAATCGAAATTTAATCATTATTCTCGATACCGGTTTAATTGGCAGTATGGGAGAGTTTAATTTTAAATTCATAAATCGTTAAAGTCCAACATTTCAACAGCTGAAAAATAAATATGGTGAAATAACTAAGGACCAAGTGTTTATTAAGTTATGTTTTTCTTTTGTATATAATAGGATTCAAACATTTGCGATGATTTTTACAATTATGGACGTTATTTGTTTTTTCGGATGTACTGGAAGTTCCATATCTTTTTACAATTTTATTTGCTTTTACTCAACAGAAACTTAAGTTTTGATTTTGAAAAGAAAGAAATTGTGTTAGAAATATTGAAATTGAAAATATAAATTTCTCATTGGAAATGTTGTGCATCTGATTAATCACCTTTTGAGAAGGGTTTCGAAATAACAAATAGTTTTATTATCATTTTTTCCGAGACTGGATTCACACTAAATAGAATGACGTTTCGCAAGTGCAGACGATATTAATCGAAGTAAATAATGATTCAACATTTTTCAGAAAATTTTGAACCCTGAATAGACATATTGCGCTTGAAACAATTTAATAATAAATAAATACAAAAAGACAGGTAACATACAATTTATTCACCAATTTCATGAAAATGCATTCAACATACCCCAGCAAATGTACTTATGTGTGAATCATGTGTGTCTGCGACACATTCGTAGAAAATGTCGAGAGAGAGAGAAAAAAAACCCAATGCTATATCCAAAGTGATGCAACAAGCCCAAAATGAATGAAAATGGAATGCATCAATTAAAACGTAGTTGAATCAACGGGGTTTCATGTTCAATACTCTTATTGTCTCACTCCATCCACGTGAACGCAATGGTATAAATGATGGTTTTTCATGCGTTTTAATACAAATTGCTTCGACAAACAATTGGCGAACACACCGCAACCAAAGCATTCGAATGAATGACATTCAATTTTCATCCCATATAAAATACACTCACATTTTTCTTGTTCATTTTTCGAACATTGTTTTTTATGACATTTCAATATATATATATTCGAAAACAACACAGAACTAGAAAAAAAAAACATGTGCAACTCCTGAAGTTTTGTCCATAATCATCGTCATCACATCGAAATCTATTTTATCGACAAGTAGCAGAAATGTATGAAACAAGCAAATGAGAAAGTAAGAGAAAGAGAAGGAAAGAGAGACACAGTGCTAGTGTGTGTATGTGTGAAATTAAGGAAAAAATTCGTCTATATACATATATCAATTGCAAATGACACTAAATCAATACGAATAAGAGTGAAAAAAAAAAATACGGCGTACGCACAAAAAAGGTTCGTAGTGCAAACAATAGGCATTATGCATACTCATACTCTCTTCGTTCCATGCACACACACAATTTCTCATATGTTATTGCTTTTGCTGCTGTTTTTGTTACTGCGGTTGTCGTTGCTGGTGGTGGTGGTGATGGTGCTTTTTGCAGCTCGCTTTTTTCGGCGTATTTGCAAATAGACAATTTAATGTTATACAGAAAAAGGGCGAAGAATAAAAAAATGATGGCTCAGCAATAATAATTTTTTTTTCTCTTTGCTAGCCTTAACTCTATTCCATATGAAAGCGTATGTGGTTGTGTGTGTGTTTTTTTAACTCAATGTATTTGCCAACACCGTTTGCTTTCTATCGTTTTCTCACTGTGTTTTCAGTGTTATCACTGAATTGCTCTTTTCCACATCGATCTTCTTCGTACACACTTTATGCTGTGCATATGCGATTATTTGTGTTTTGCTCTTTCCCTCGATTCAAGATAAATGTTCACAGATTTTTTTTCGACTCTGACGAATTTGTTTGATAATGTCATCTTTTGCTTGGAATCCCTTCAAAACGACTTCCGTCTCGCGAGTGGCACACATCCATTCATTTATGCCATTTGCCTGTGTTACTTGAACTACCCGTTTGAAACTTGTAGTCGTCGTCACTGCTGCTGCTGTTGCTGGGATTCAGGAAAAACGGTTGCTGAATGCACTGTTTACGCTCAATTTAAGTTTCGTTTTCTTCTTTGTGTTGTTGTTTTTTTATGTCGATGAAAAATATTTTGTAAACATTCATTTATTGGAGTCTCAATCGAATCGGAACGAATGTTTTTCTATGGTATCGCTTTTTGTTTCGAATGTAAGTTTATGCTTTGTTTGCTGCCAAATGTTTTTTTTTTTTGCATTGTATTTGTGCTAGGTGATTTAAGTGAATGAGGATGGTAGAAAAAGGGCGTGAGACAGTAAGCGGGTGGAAGAAAAAAATAAACGTGGAAGCAAAAAAGACGAACGATACAAAATGAAAATTTTGCAACGTAAGAATCAATTTGTTTTTAATTTGCAAACAACCAAAACTGAAACTATTACAACAAAATGATGAAATTAGTTACCTTTAAATCATTGAACTGTATGTATGACCTTTCGTTCCACATAAATTGATGAGTTTATTTATTTCCAATGGAAAAAATTTCTCCTTCGAATACAAACAACAATATGAAATGAAACAAATTCAATTTAATTCGTAAATTAAAGAGTTAGTCATTCAAGACAATTCAATAAACTTTGTCTGATTTTCAGCACAAAACAATTTCTGATATAAATTTTATTCATGAATAGTTATGGTGTTGCCATTTCTTTTTCGTTGAATGAATTGGCTTAATTCTAAATTTAGTCACTCCACAGAAAGTGGCAAACATTCTTAGACGAGGAAATAATGCTAAAAAAATCCGAATAGAAATGAAACTAATTAGTATTTGACGGTGTGATTTGATTGATTGTCTCACGAGGGAATTATAAACAGTAATACTCACCTTTGGATCGGCAGTTTTGAAGCAAACATTCACATTGTATGCTCGGTCACATCCTTCACCATTTGGATATAGGCACTTTCTTATCATATGAATGAATGTAAAGTGAATTTCTTCATTTTCGTTAAAAGATTCATGCCAGGCAACGTAATCGATTTTGCCATCTGGCAATATGAAGCCCTTTTCGTGCAAAAGACAATCCATGTAACATTTTAGATTGTCGTCTTCAAAAATTTTGTCCCCATCACTAAATCTCTTAATGATATCTGGAATATATAGAAAAAAAACTCAATGGCATGCACTCACTCATTCCGTGTTCAAGCGTGAAAAGCAAATGGAATTATCTGTTGTCATTGCATAGCACTTTTTTTTCTTGTTTTCATTTTCTTATTTATTATGCGAAATGGATGTCTATACCTTCAGAGACTCCGGTTTTCCCAACGCAAGTGTCGTGTGCGGGCTTCCATTTGGCCAGAAGTTGTGGCGGTGGATACTATCAATTGATGAAGATAGAAATAAAAAAAGAAAAGCAAAAAGCCATCAATAGAAATTATTGAAAACAGAAGGTAGGATTTGAAATGAAATGCACGCACGCACGCACACACACGCACAAAATGAACAAAAGAAATTGAGAAATTAAGATCGAAAAGAAATCATATTAAAGAAAAAGTTCGATGAAATGGGATCCATCGATGTCTGCGAAATGGGTGGTAAAATGAACATTAGATGAAATGTGAATTAAATTTTTCAGGTAGCAACCGAAATGATAAAATCATTTGAATTCCATCACCGAAAGAAACATCATTTCGACGAAAACAAAAGGTGAGGATGAACGAAAAAATACAACAACGCACAACAGTCTGACTTTTCCCAACCGAATCGACGTCTAAAACATAATTATTTTTGTTTTATCGCTCGTTTGTTTCAATATTTTCAACTTTATGTATCTGTACAGTATACAGCCTTATTGTATGCCGTGGTCCGTCTTACCTGATCGTCGCGTCGAACTTCGCACCAAACATATTCGATTAAGACCAAATTTATTATTGCAAATAACAAGATTTTATTCATAATTTATGGTTGATTGCGTACAAATGACTAAGAACACGGTTCGCTAATATGCACTTGCCGTTTATCCAAAAAAGTATACGTAGCTAATCTCCAGGCAGCACGCGATTTTCTTATATATATTTTTTTAATGCTTTGAATACACTCTCTTTCACGTCATATCACTAAGTGATGCGCTGCTGTACATATACACGGTCTATATATGCCAGAACATTGTTGTATGATTTTTGCGAGTCATTAATTGTGACGGTGAACATTTTATATAAGTGGAAGTTAAATAGATAATTTGAGAGACGATAAAATATGAACGAAACAAGCGGCAGCGCATTTTTAATTACAACTTTGTGAGACCAACTTCTTGCGACAGGTGTTTATTAACCTTTTGTTATACCGATTATTGAGCACTTTTTTCCTCGTGTTGAATAGCTACTTTCCAATCTATCTGTTAAGTTTCAACTTACATGATAATTTTAAAAATTTACTTTCGAAAATGAACCAAAATTATATACACTTTTATGCGGAAATATTGTGATCTTTAATTGGAAATGACGACTATTTTATTATGTCAAATCCATTTAGAGGAAAAAACAAACAAATTATCTATATTTAGAATTATCGGAATATTTTCGACACTTTTTCGCAATTGATTGATCCACAAACTTGCATTTGATCTAGGCATCCATTCCAATTGGGTCTCATCAATCTATTACGCATATCGCTTTGGTCGTCGAAATGAAAAAAAAAAACGAAAATGGGTTTTTCTCGTACAAATAAATATTTATTTAGTAGAATTTATTTCAATCCATTCCATTTCGATAATGAAAACTAATGCAGGCCGCTTTTTACTTTTTCTTTGCTTGAGATTTTGTTTTTACTTCTTTTTGTTCTTCCTGTGTGCGAGTCATGAAAAGAGATATTCTTTGCTAAAGACATCCATGGTTTTTCATTGCATGGCGAGCAAAAATTGTATAATGTGAAATGAAAATATGTGCACGTTTTTTTTATTTGTTCGGTCACAGTTTCTTATTTATTCGTATACCATTGCAAAAGCAAAAAAAAAATTGGATCACTTTTGGATAACAGAAAATTAAAGTAGAGAAAATCAATTCGGAAGTTCGACTGAAATATTTTTCCGATATTTTCTAGTTTGGTCCAATAAACGAGGAAATGTGTGAGTGCATAAGAGAAAATACTGCTCGCGAGCACATTTTGCGAAAATATTCTACGGATACACCATCGGTAATAAGCGTGAATGGTGTGTATAGTGGGGAAATGCCACAATGAATTCCGGCGCGCTTAAAATGTTCGAGATACACACAGAGAAAAAAAACTTTCGTTATCAAAGTTTCATATAGAACTTATAACAAAAATACTCTATCTATTGAAACTTAAACGGCGGAGAACAAATCAAAGATCGTAAAACGAAAAGTTTTATTTTAATTTTTACTCGTGCACCTTCCCGCTCGTACCCACTTTATATGCTCATTATATCTCTTTTTTGTTCGATATTATTTGAGATGTACACGTACAGCTGTTGCATTCATTCGAATGATGCAAAAGAAATGCTAATTCAAGAATTCACCGAGTTCGACACTGTTTTCTATATAGTTTTGCATGAGCCTTTGCCTGTATTTCTCATGCGCTGTCTCACTCTTTCTCATTTCCGTAACACTGTTGCACAGATGAAAAACACCACGAAAAGAATGCAAAAAAAAAGCAGTGAAATTAAACGAAAATAACATGAAGAACGGATCGCAGTTTACCATGAAATTCATATAGCCTGTCCAATTTCAACTAATTAAAAAGTAAAGTTATTAAACGGAAACTTAATACGAGCAAAAAAAAAATCGTCTGTCTTAAGAATGGCTGGTAGATAAGCTGGCGTTTTCAGTATGGCAGTTAGTGAAGCAACTAAACATAAATACAAACAGAAATATGCATCCATATTTATGTACACGATCTGTTCAAACATCAGATTGAGCACATTCATTTACATCGCATGTAGAAAGTCATCGAAAATATACAGACAAAAAGGTACTTTCCTGGCAATAGTTTTTGAATGGAAGTTCAAAAAGTACAAGACGAGATCTTAAAGGAAAAAACAACAACAACGAACTGGGCGCACTGATTTCTTTTTTTATTTGAATAAAATTGTCTTAATTCAAATATTTTGTTTGGATAATTTGCTTTTCTTCATTGGATTTTATCATAAATTCTTTCTGAGGTGTTTTTTTTTGTTGTTGTTGGACTTGGTATTGTTTGCTTCTTTAAAATTGCAATCGGATTATTTTAAATTCATTATGGAATAATTTGTAGACAAAACTCGAATGGGTTGTGTTGGTATCACTTTCTCAATTTTATTCCATCTTTTATACCTAATACCTACCATAATTTGGCGTAACGAATTGTGTATAATGATGAAAAACTTACAATTTGAACATGTATATGTGCAGCGTTCAGGACCAAAAACGTAGAGGTACTGAATGAAGACAACGGAAAACTTTTTAATACCCCTGAATATCTTTTGGTATTAAAATCATTTTAATAAAATGTAGCCCTAGTGAGAGCATAAAAACAAGATGTGCAAATCTCAAATGGAGCTGTATTGCGTCGTCGTCGTCTTCGGCTGAAAAACAAAACTATCACATTTAACTTTTGCTGACCACATTTTTGTGGCTGTTCGCCGTCAACGTCTCCATTTCTCTATCCTGAATATATTCCGATTGCTAATTTCATTTCATGATACATAAAGTTTTGCTAAAATTCGCTAACTTTTTCGTTGAGATTTCAACAAGATTATTTTTTTGCTCACGTATACACTCAATTTTGGTTGCTTATTTGCAATGTTTAACGTACTCTTTCAATGTATAAATGGGAAACTTACGTTGTTATTTGCCCGTTTTCTGCAAATCATGGAAATCAATTACTATGCAATATTGACCTATCAGACATGGAATTTGCACATACGGACACATTTTTATATATAAAATTGAGTGAGTTTTCTTTGCATCCAGTTGTGCATTTTTTTGCTGTGTTTGTTTGATAATATGAAATCATTTTTGCATGTGATTGTTTTGCAAATGTGAATCAATTTTTCTAATACAATAGATGAAGTCATGAGGTGCGAACTCGAATCAAAAAAATTTGTATACCGTAAATTTTCCGATTGTTTTTGTGAATGGTATTGTTTAAATGTGATGGAAAGAATGTGCTGATTTTGACGCAAAAATATAGCTCAATTGTTTATCATTGAGCTTTTTCTCTTTCAATTTTTATCTTTGAAAAACTTATTGGATTGAAAATCGTTCAATGCGTACCTCACAATGGATCGGGCATTGAAATTGAATGTTGAAGTCGATATGAGAAAAAAACACACATGTGAAAATAAAAATAAAAATATTTTGTTGCACGTTCATGGAATCAAAACAATATATTCATGAGGATTGTCCTTTTTTTCGGTATTCCTCTAATCTGTTGACAACCCTATTCTCAGGCGTGAAAAAGTACAATTCATTCAGCCGATCTTTATAGGAATAAGGCCAAGCGTAGTAAAGTCGATAATAAAATGAAATCAAATAAACAAACAGCAACAGAAACATAACAAAAACAACGAGATGACTGAAAATTGCACGTATACAAATTTGCCAGCATAATCCACAGAAACGAGTACATATAGACACATATTTGTCTCACTTTTTTTTATTCGGCGTTGCGAGTATTGAGTACGAGATGCGTTGAGATCGCGTACCAAATTCTGGGCACCATTATTTTCTTTTATTATTTATAGAAAACATATTTTGAGTGGTGGCGTAAAAATGACTTTGCCTGCTCGTTTTTTCAACTTTCAATCACATGGCAAAACGCGAAAAGAAAACCAATTGGTTGAGCACGAAATCGATAAATGTTTCACACTGCAGACATGTGGAAAAACGTGTCGAAATCGAATCATAAATTAATGATATGAAATATTGTCATTTTTCGTAAAAAGGGTGCTTTTTTTCTTTCAAAATCATTTTAAACAAGTCTGAAGTATTCCACTTTTGAGATAGAATGAACCAAAACTGAGCCAATTCAATCTCTTGTTACTAAATTTATAATATTCGTTTAGTAACTTTTATTAATTGAAAATAATTTTTTTTAGCCTTTTTACTCTTTTGGTCACATTAACACACAATTTAGTGCAATTTAGTTGAAGTAAAGTATTGTATCAAAATTGGTACATTATATTAACTCATCACAATTACATAAAAGAAATTATTCATTGGACAGACCGTTCACTTACAGAAGAACCCAGTGAAATTGTGTAGAGTTGTATTTTTTTCAGACAATATATTGAAGTAACTGGTCAGCTAAGCTGACAGTACGTTATCCAGATAAATGGGATAAAACAATAAAAGTCTAGATAAAAGTTATTGTTATAATGATGAATCACTTCTATTGTTTTAACAATAACTTTTATTGTTTTAGCCCATTTAGCTGGCTAACGTACTGTCAGCTCAACTGACCAGTTAACTGTGCAAAATGTGTTTGCATGTATGGCGTTTGCGTTCGGAATAGAACGACTACAATACATGTATTGTGCGATGTTTAAGTTGCTTAATTTGCTCAGCCAAATGCTCAGCTATCCTATGGATACTGGTGAGCATCCAATTGAAAATCACTGCTGACCATTTAGTTCAATATATTGTCTGACTTTTTCAGCTTCAAGTCACTGATGTAAGTGGAACTGTCAAATAAAATGCGTTTAGTAATAATACGATTACTTTCAACTGGGTACATATCATAAACTATGCAGCATATCAATCAGATCTGTTGCGGGCACTTTTCTTGTAAGAGTCGCCCTTTTTTTGTATTCAGGCGAGTCTTTGTTCAATATGAACAAAGCCTTGGTTTTTCCTCATGATTGCATTACATTTTTTTTGAAGTGAATCAATAATTTGAAAAATTAAAATTAGAAATTAAAATCGTAATTGCTCTGTTCTCAGTATGAAAAATGTCTAAACCCGTCTCTTCAATAAGAAAATGTTAAATTCCAATGCAACCATCAGAAGAACAATGCACAATTGAAATGATAAAATCTTCTCTTTGAAAGGAGTTGACTTCTGGTGTTTATAACTTCAGGTGTTTATAACTTCAAAAATACGACGATTTCCGA